TTGCTTCCAACATTCAGAGAACTTTCCAAAATGGAAAAGCATTGAAACATACAAGCCCACCCTTTTCACCTGTAAGGCAAAGAGGTGCAAACCGAAGTTGTACCTACTGACTCAGCACTGGCTCAAAATTATCAGTGAACTTGTCAAAGTGAGAAATCACCAGGCAACAGAAGGATAGACTGCTGGGGCAACTCTGTGATTTATCTTCAGTTCCTAGCTGACAGGGCAAAGAAGTCAGAGCAGGTAGTCCTATAAACAAAACGCCGTTTATGATGTTTTAAGACTTCAAGTGGAGCCATTTAACGCAAAGCAAAATGTCCTACAGATATTAGTGCAGCCGCAGTGAACAGAGATTCATGGAAATGATGCAAGTAAACTGGCTAGATTGAGCCTATGGGGTTTTACACCCTCCCTTCCATGGAAAATATCCATGCAATCAACACCATTTATATGATCAAGTCATTCAGATATAGTCCTGGGCTCTGCAGGAATCACTTGTAGAAAAGTGCTTCCAGTGTAGCACCCCAGACAAGCAAGAATCAGACATTCAAGTACACTTTTAGCCATCACACACACACACACACACACAAAATCCACCCATCACTGGAATCATTTACAAAGTGTTGCCTGGGAGATAACCACAGAGCAGCTATGCAACTGGGTGGTACAATAATTCACACTCTTCAATGACTGTACTCTGCTTTCGGTAGTGAATTGCTGGCTCCATGACAGATTTGTGTACTTTTCACATTACAATTTGCTCAACAATTAGAGGAAGTAGGCTCATTGTTCAGCAGCAAACGTGGGTGATTAATTGATTAAATGGAGATAACTAACAAAAACACCATTATCTCCGCCCCCTCCCATCAACTATTCACAAAACACTTTTTTCACGGGAAAGAATATTTTTCAGTTAATTAAATGCCTAATTCTTCCTGTTTAGAGGGAGAATATCACTGGATTCTGGGTTATGGCAAGAACTGATAAAGAATTTGGGTGCTTCTGTTGCAATACCTAATGCAATAATATGTTGGCTGAAGGAACTGACAATAGGTTAAATGGTGGTACTTTTAGAGGGCCTATGATAACCAGGCCAGTGTTTGTTTCCTTTTCAGATTTGGATTCTGGCCCATATAAATCTGTTTATGTTTATTTTTCATTAGATTAAAGGGGACACTCCACAAGGAAGCATCTATACACTGCTGCAATAAAGATGATGCCACAACACACTGAAAATTTCATTTAACATCCAAGGATAAAATACAGCATTTGTGGCTTCATTCATGCATTTATTGTTCTAAATATTCTGGCATATGGATCATCAGGTTTTGCAGCATAAGTCAAGAAATGTTTTAATGGTGTAAAAATATGAGCCATCAAGGGGGAAGGGCTCAGGTTGGATCCACCTTTTTTGTATACAATGAATATTTACAATCAATTCAATAAATGTGAAATATCCTTTGCGACTTTTTCTGCATACACACCATACATTTAAAGCACCCAGCTTCCCCCAAAGAATCATGGGAGACGTAGTTTACCCTTCACAGAGCTACAATTCTCAGCACCCTTAAAACTACAGTTCCCGTGATTTTTGGGGGGAAGCCATGGTATGCTGTATGCAGTATTTATTAAGCACTTGAAATACAGAGCTGATCAATAAAAGCTGATTCGCTCATGAATATTCAAAATCTCATCTGCTGAGAACTCATTACTTGGCAATTCGCAGCTGAATGTTCGAACCACTGTCATAGGAAAATATTGCACATGTGGCATGACAAGATCTCTGTGTGAGGTCTTCCAGCAGTGAAGCTTTTATCACATGTGAAATAGCAAACCGTTTTATATTACAGTAATGAACAATGAATCATTACAGTAATCTGCAGTGATGATTTGAGTTCCCTCCACTCACTAGCCTGCTTAAATAAATGGGTCAAGAATTCCCTGTGGACCAGCAGGCTCACTCAGCAGTTGCACTTGGTGCACAGGGCCATTCTGAAGCAGTCACAACACCTAGCCATTAGCCGCTAAATCCCATTGGCACTTTATGACTCAGGAAAATCCACTGGCTAAACTCCAAATTAGATTGCTCTTCCCCGACTACGCAAAAATCCCTTGGCAATTTTAGTCTGAGAGGCTTATTGTTAGTTAACTGTTATGTAATGTTGAACAGTCTCCGTACAACAGTATTAAGGGAATCGTATCCATGGTACTCTAATCAATAAACACCACATTAGAAAAGGAGATCACAGGCCCCAGTAATTTAATTTTCAGTGATAAATTAAATACAGCTGGTCATGGAAACCCCCTTGTAGTGCCATTCATAATAACATGATCGCTTCTATCCTGCTACTGATAAATTCACCTTCCCACCCTTCATTGTGCAATTAGATCCTGTGCTTCAAAACCCAAAAACATGTGCACTGAAATGAGTGGGGAATGTACATGCAAAAGAACATTGGTGCTAACTGTGTAGACCAGGGAGGGGAACCTTTTTCAGCCCAAGGGCTGGGTCCTTCTGGTGGCCACATGAAGGCGATGGGCAGAGCGCGAAGCAAAAGTGGGAGGAGGAACAGCTGCAACTTCTAACTTGCACAGTAGATCACATTCCAACCATATACAAAGCCAGAAGTTTCTGCACATTCAAATGCTAATTTCACTATCCAGGTAAGCAAGAATAACCATCCTAGCTGAAGAGCACATTACAGTCAGGCAAAGAAAGTGTATACAAAGCAGGGATGGCTAGAGACCTAAAGGGCCACATTGGCTCCCAGACCTGGGTTTCCCCAGCCCTAGTGTAGACAAAAGTGTATATTTCATTTGCAGTAAGTGCTAAACATCAGTCTCTCTCTCTCTCTCTCTGGAAAACTGTTTCATAGATCCATTCTTATTTCTCAGATTCTTACCATATTAAGGCTTTGGGAATTAAAGCTACCATACTTTTCTGTGTATAAGACTAGGTTTTTTGTTTTAGTTTTTACAGAAAAATGATGTTTAAAATTGGAGGTCGTCTTATACATGGGTAGTGCCTGGGGGGGATGTGGGATTGGTTGATGCCACGAGCCGGAGATGGTCTGCAACGTGTTATTGGTGTCTGCAGCAAGGGGTGGTGCTGATTGGTTGTTGCTGCGACAATTAGGCGGGCAATAGGCTGATTTTGCCGGCAATGGGACAGACTTTAGGAGGCTGTTGCGAAGCGCGTGAGTGTTAGCGTTGGCCAGGTGGGTGAGTGTAGAAGCTCAATAACTCTGGGCAATTTCCCCCCATTTTCTTAATTTTTAGTCCCCCCAAATAGGGGACATCTTATACATGGAAAAGTACAGTACTTTCATGCACAGCCTGCTACTGCTGTGCTCCCCCCTTGTGTTTTCTCACAGGTGTCAGATCCTTTTCTGTTGCTCCCACTTGTGAGGAAAGGACATCTCTTCACAATCAATGTTCAGACAAGGGTAACCAAAAGGGAATCAAGTGGGTCAAATCGACTCCCCTATGAAGAAAGGTTGCAGCATTTGGGACTTCTTAGTTTAGAGAAAACAAGGAGAAGGGGACGACAGAGGACGAGATGGTTGGACAGTGTTCTCAAAGCTACCAGCATGAATTTGACCAAACTGAGGGAGGCAGTAGAAGACAGGAGTGCCTGGCGTGCTCTGGTCCATGTGGTCACGAAGACACGGACACGACTAAGCGACTAAACAACAACAACAGCAACAGTTTAGAGAAACAGTGGTGACATGACAGGAGTTCCAGTGAAGCTGCGTGCTAGAACATTCAGGATAGCGCATAGATAAAAACTATAGAACTCCCTCCCACAGAAGGCAGCAATGGCCAACTTAGATGGCTTTAAAAGATGAGTGAACAAATTCATGGGAAAGAAGGCTATTGATGGCTACTAGGCATGATGGCTATTTTCTACCTCCACTGCCTAAGGCATTATGCCTCTGAATACCAGCTGATGGAAATCACAGGAGGGGAGAGGGCTCTTGGGATCAGATCCTGCTTGTGGGTTTCCCACAGGCATCTGGTTGGCCACTGTGGTTAGATGGTGCTGGGCTTAGATGGGCCATTGGTCTGATCCATCATCATCATCATCATAAACTTTATTGCACTAGCCAAATGTCATGGCATCATTCACAAAGGGAACAAAAAGAAAAGCAATAAAAACCCGAAAAACATCAGGCACTGCAGATACAGTAAACCACGATCACGTCTCCTAGAAATTATTTGTTGCATACTATAGAATAGCAGGGGGTTCTCAAGTAAAATGTGCCAGCTTCAATGTCTGAATCACCTTTGCAATTGACCGCTACTTTATCTAGTTCTTTTCTCCTGATCTTCTTAGCTGCCAACGCATATAGTGCTACTTTATAAGTTACAAAGTCAACAGTATCACTCAGCAGCCATTTCACCCTGTTCAAGTGTGTTCCATTCGTAAGAAGGGTTTTTATAAATTGGTCTCTTGGTTCTATATATAGCGGGCATTCCTGATCCAACAGGGCTCTTCTTATATTCTTATAATAGTTTAAAGGTATTATAAAAGTACATCATTTTGTACGTATTATCTTGACAATGCCTCTCTCTAAGAACACAATTTCATTCCACTTGTTTTATGCACTGACAGACACTCCTACGGCCAAACATTTTGCTGAAGTATTTCCTAATGCGAGTTTGGGGACAGGGAGGTGGAACCGCATATATATACACAACAAGAGGCAAACGGAAAGAAAGAACTGAGTGCGCATTCACATACCACCCCCTTCTTCAGCCTAAGTTAAGCTGACCTGCCTGGAGTACAATTTAGCGCACTAAACACTATTAATAGCCATTTCACAGCATTCAGCTCCTGCTGCGTTCTCAGAGGCTTCAGCTAATCTTATTCTATACAGAAGCAATGTGATTCAAAATAGGAAAGGAAAAATACACAGAGCCTTTATGGTGTTTCTTTCCTTCAAAAAATAAAACAACAACGGTGCAAAGGTTCGATTCTATTATACCATTGGGGAAGGGATATAGCTCAGTGACAGAGCATCTGCTTTGCATGCAGAAGGTCCCAAGTTCAATCCCCAGGTAGGGCTGGAAATACCCCCCACCTTGAAACCCCGAAGAGCTGCTGCCAGTCAGTGTAGACAATACTGAGCTACATGGACCAATGGTTGGACTTGGTACAAAGCAGCTTCCTATGATCCTCTGTTCCCAACATTGCATTTGAGGGGAAGGCTGTGTTGTTTACTCAGTGGGGAAGGGAAAGCTATCTGCATGTCATTAAACACACCTCATTACTACTGCGTATATTCTAGCAAAAGAGCTACGGAAGCGTGAAATAAATCCCCCACATGTGGAAGCCACTAGATGGGATACAAGGAAGACATGAGGAGATAGAAAAGTTTTTAAAACACCCATCTACAATCTAAACTGAAAGACAAGGGAGCTGCTCTGTTTTTCTTCTGCAGTACTGAATTCCAGATCAGTTTGGCTGATCTCCGTCTTCATAGGACTATCTATGCACAACAACGTCCTGGACAGCATCTTTCCCTGCCTGTCCTCCCTCCCCAAGCCTATTACTGTACAAAACTTATCTGCTAGAGGTTTCTGGCCAACAGCCTAAGTAGAAGAAGGTCCAGAGATATGAAAGGTTTAAGCCTTCAGTCTTTTCAAACCAAGGACCCATTTTTGGCTCACACATATGACTGGGGACTCACTTCATAATCCCCCCCCAAAAACATTTATATGGAAGGTAAACGGCCTTTCTGTGCGCTCTGGTTTCCGTCATGGCGTTCCGCTGCACCAGAAGCGGTTCAGTCATGCTGGCCACATGACCCAGAAAGCAGTCTGTGGACAAACGCCGGCTCCCTCAGCCTGAAAGCGAAATGAGCGCCACAACCCCAGTCACCTTTGACTGGACTTAACACTGCGATCCCAGATACAGTGAGAGCAAGGTACCACAAACTCTGCAAAGGGAGAGGCATTCCATGTTACATTCAATAGGCAGAAACTGGAAGGTCAATGAAGCTTGCCTTTCTTTGGATGAAGGCTTGAGGAGATCCAAGTTATTTTTCAAGACTTGACTCGGGGTAAATATGCAGGCATCTCTTCTTTAAACCCTTTTAACTTCATTTGCTGCTTTAACCTGCAATCCTAATCATGTCTACTGATAGGTATAGCAAGCAGGGATGAAGTTTTAACTGAGAACTGGACATGGGGAGGGGAGGTATAATAGTTCTGTAACGGTTAAGTGCCATTTAATTTAATACATGGTTAACAGAAAATACTTCCCAGGGACATCCCCACAAAAGATTCAAGTTTGTTGTCTTTCTTATGTAAATCAAGGAAATGCATTAGAATAGAGAATGGAAGCGGCAGAGGAAATCTGAAGAGAGTGAAGCAATACTGGTGTTCTAAGGTTTAGTGTCTTTAACGTCATTTTCGTTTTACTGTTTAGGCATTTACATGGCACTCACATCACGGGGGGGGGGTGCCCCCTTGAATAGCACAAAGATTATGGGAGCAACTCAGCAAGGAATTGGGTGAGCAGACAAGTCAGAATGCAGACTGGCTTCATTTTTATGTTGCTTTCACAAACCTGGCTTGGGCAGGGTCACAGAGCAGTCACAATCCCACAAATTCTGTAGTTATCAACTGCAACCTTCCAGAATTTACAACTTAAGTGCCACATACAGGGTGGCACTGTGGTTTAAACCACTGAGTCTCTTGGGCTTGCCGATCGGAAGGCCAGCAGTTCGAATCCGCGAGCTCCCCTTGCTCTGTTCCAGCTTCTGCCAACCAAGCAGTTCAATGTGAGTAGATAAATAGGTGAGTAGATAAATAGCTGCGGTGGGAAGGTAAACGGCATTTCCGTGAGCTCTGGCACTCATCGCAGTCCTCCATACGCCAGTAGCGATTTAGTCATGCTGGCCACATGACCTGGAAAGCTGTCTATGGGCAAACGCCGGCTCCCTCAGCCTGAATAGCGAGATGTGAGCCGCACCCCATAATCACCTTAGACTGGATTTAACCATTCAAGGGTCCTTTGCCTTTACTTTTGACCTTACTATGAAACTAATGAAGCTTAAGCTTCAGGGCCCCTAATCCCAAAGGGGCTCCAGAAGTGATATTAGTCCATATTCTTTTTTTTAAAAAGGGTCTAGTAGTCCCAATTTGATTTATTTTGTTGTTGTATATATTTCAACAATCCCACAGTTTGAGAGTCAGTAGCACAGACGTTGTAAATGTTGTTGTTAACAACCCCATTGAAGAATATAACAGTGGTTACGCAGACTTTGTTTCTGGTTCAAGCTTCATGGCCTAGGTCCACCACTAGGCATATACATGCAACAGGAACCAGCAACAGCAATTGACTATCCATAATGCATGCTCTTTCCATAAGCTAAGTTGTGGCAACAGCAGTGGGGTGGAGTCACAGAGGCACTCTCCCAGCCCTGGCATTGCTGCCGCTCACCTTGGGGGCTGCAGCAGGGTTTTGGCAAGGTCAGAGATGTGCAAACAATGAAAAGGAAGACCAGAAGTTGTGAACAGAAGAGAGCTATAACCCCAGAGTACAAAATTCTTAATCCCTATTAATTTTAATGCTTAAAACTGCTACTCTCCTGACACCGCCACTCCAAGTACCCTGCTCCATGGCGGCCTCCTCTTGCGTTTCCAGGTTGGCTACTGGCTTATGCTGTGAGCCCTTTAACAGCTCAAATCTGCGCAATTTGTAGGCAACTTTTACACTTCCGTCCCCGGTAATAATCAACTCAGTTTATAAAACTGTGAATGTCAAAAGGCACAGGGTTGCCACAAACATATATCAGGAGAGAAAACACCAAGACCCAATCCAGGTATAGCATCTTAAGGCACCTTTAACGTTTGAGGAAAGGGGCTGGGGATTTGGAGAGCAATTCTCCCTGTTTTGTGGCTAATGTAAAAATAAAATAAAAAAGTTCTTCCAGATCCTCCTCTGTTTCCTGTTCAGTCAATAAATCTGCACAAAGAAAAACATATGCTCTTACAATAGCCCCTTTGCCAGCAGGCACACAACCAGCTTGGCACATGTTGCGTAGACCACCAACTACAGCAGCACTTCATTATGAGCTGTGTGGAGGGTGCCAGATGGGAAGAGAAAAACAGGGAGCCAGCCAAGGCAGACTGAAGTGGTGGCGTTGGGCCAACTTCACCACTGATGGGGTGCAGACCTGCCATACCAGCATCCTCTGAAGTACAGGGAGGCCTTCATGCTTTGCTCCACAGAGTTAGGGCAGAGGTGGGTGGGAGGAGCAGAGAAAAGAGATAAACAATAACTCAAAAAAGTCATTTCCATCTGAGAGTTTGTCCAGAAATAGAGGCTATGCCTGGTTTCCGAAATACAGCATGAAATTACAAAGCATTCAGAGATTCTCAAAGTTCTCAGTGATTACATTTTTTATCGATATCCTTTGACAAGGACTTAAACTTGTGGAGAACAGGACACACACACAGCTCGTGGCAAAAGTTAGAAGGTCAGATTCAGGCAAGGTGCTCAGAACATAAACCCCAGAACTCAATATGCACAAGACAGAAAGTATCTTGCTAGGCATAAATGGAGATGTCAGAAACGAGGCAAAGATGTTTGACAGTGCTGGGGAGCAGGAGATATTTTAGCCAAGGCTTCCCCAATCCAATGCATTTCAGGTGTTGCTTGACTAGTTGCCATGCTCCCTGACCCCTGGCCATACCGGCTGGAGTTGATGGGAGTTAGGAGCCCACTATGTCTGGCAGGCATGTGAGGAAAACGGTATAGTTCATCTGTCATTACGGCACTTCAAGCAAAATGTCCGCAGGAAGAGAGTTGAAACTTAGAATAGCAGGAGAAATGAGTAAACCAAAGAACAAGATGACAAAGAACAAGAGTGACCAAGACAGAAGTCAATAATCAGCTAAGCACACCTCTGGTTACTTAATTTCCAACATGCCAGCACACACATGATTTTCTTCCTCTGAACTGTCAATAAGAAGCAGACGTGTGATGAAAATACAGGATATCGTTCTCTAATCTAACAGAAGGTTTGTCACAGGCCCCTTGGCTCCATCAGGATCTGGCATGGCTCGGCAGCCCAGGCAGAAGAGGAGGAAGAAGGAGAAGATGAGCTTAAAGGCTGGTGCCCAAGGATGGTGGCTCTCCCCTTGTGACTCAAGATGTTGGAGAGGGGGGACTCAGATCTCCCAGCCCACCCCAGTGCCCCTCCTGCAGAGTACAAGGGCTCATTGGGGAGGGAGGGCTTCAACCAGCCAGTGGGAGGGGCTGAGCAGGAGATGATAGTGGTGATGTGTCGGGATGGAGGTGGAGTCAAAGGGGCAGGACACAGTGTTGTCACCAAGAACCAGGTGCCAACTTTGCAGGTGGAATCAGATGCACCAGCTCAGATAGAACACACATTTGCATATACAGCTGTCTCATAAGGCCCATCAGTTTTGCGAGCAATTGAGCTCACCCTGCATCGTCTTTAAAAGCTTGGGGGGAGGGTGCAGACAAGTGTTGGGACATCTTTGTTGCTCCTGTACAGTTCTGCATCTCTTGCCTTGCTCGTATACATTGGAATCATGACTTTCAGACTTGCTGCTATCTCTGTACCGTTTATAGCCAGAATAAAAATATCTTCCTTACTCCCAAGTAAGAGCCAGTGTCGTCATGTTTTGGGATAGGAGCATGACAAGGCTAAAGAAATGAGCAGTTGTATAGAAGGTCAGAGTGTACGTCTTGTGATGAAAAAGACGCCCACCTGAAGAGAGTAAGTTCTCCTGTGGGAGGTCAGCCTGGTGCTTTAATTAAATAGAGGGAGGGCATCGTTGTTGCTGTATGAGAATATAATAAAGAAAGGCTAGGTTTTTTCCAGGTCCCAGAAAAAGAACAACTCTCTCAATGTTCCCCTCTTCCTTCGCATGCAGTGGAGCTTTCAAAGCCCGTGCCAGAAATTTGGAGAGAATTAAAATGATAAAATCAACAGAGAGAGAAAGAAATATATTCAATTGGCCCACAGCAGATTTTTTCCAGGAACACAGGTAAAACATCCAAGGGTAATGAATATTTACTGGGCTGATCAGAAGAACATCTGCCTGTCCTTGTACAGTTAAGATTGGATTTTGCTGCCGTCATATATATACATATTTAAGAAAGGTAGGGGCACTGACTCACATTTTAATGCTTAACGCAATGATACGCTCATGGCTTTTATAAATATAAATGCAGTCAAATGCAGCAGCATTTTATTGTACTTTTTACAAAGCAGATGGCAAATATCAAAGGCCAAACTGTAGCCTTTGGGCATACTTCAAGGGGCCCAGAGAAATATTTGGCTTGCTAGAGATTCTCCGTCTGCATCTGAAAAGGCTCCTCTATATATAATGATTTAGTAATGTGCACTCGCACAATAGTATACAACACACAGCCTTTTCAAACATTTCCAGGTCGTTGATTTACACTGGCCCCCTTACAGACCAAACCTTTCTAATTCAATTAAAACCTCAGCCCGGCCAATCAATACAAATGCAGCCTGCCTTTCTTTAATGCATACAGAGCAGAGGCCACAGCTACAGGCAAAGCGAGGCCCAGGAGGCAAATTCTGCAACCTACAAGCCTAGTTTCCATTCCAAACTAACACTGCCATAAACACTCATAGCTCCCTGCCCCCCAGCTTGGACACAGTCCAGATTTCAATACAATCCAGGGAGTGCTTCACACATGGCTTCCCCCCCCCATAGAATGATAATATCAGCATAGAAAAAAACCCCAGAAGCACAGCATCCCTTGAGAACTGAGGCCAAAGTATTGTATTTTTCCACAAACGTGTGGGTCCGAAAGTGTGGGCCCTTCCAGGCACGGGCTTCATTTCCAAATGAGACGCTGAGATATCGGTAACTGGTTGCTGGCAACAAGGTTTTGTTTATTACTTAGCAGTAAATCCGGATAAAAGAGTGGGGTGGGTGGGAATACTGGCTGGAATTTCAATGCCAGCGAAGTCCTGTGGATACTGCAAAAGTCTTGCATGCCATAAGGAGTTGTCCATCCCACATTAAACACCCTTCTTGGAGCACCCTAACCCTATACAGTGGGGTGTGTGGATCTGAGTCTGTGTACACACCATACATTTAAAGTGTACTCCCCCCATACAAGAGTCATGCGAAATGAAGTTTCTAAAGGGCACTGGAAAGGTGGAAACTATGGCTCCCAGGCAGAAACCAATACAGTGGTACCTCTGGATGCGAACAGGATCCGTTCCGGAGCCCCGTTCGCATCCTGAGCAGAATGCAACCGGCGTCTGCACCTGCGTGGGTTGCAATTCACCACTTCTGCACATGCGCATGGCATCATTTTGAGCGTCTGCACATGCGCGAGCGGTGAAACCCAGAAGTAACCCATTCCGTTACCTCCGGGTCGCCGCAGAACACAACCTGAAAACGCTCAACCTGAAGCGACTTTAACCTGACGTATGACTGTATGTTTAAAATGCATGGTATGTACACAGCCTGACAGAATGACCAATAGTCACATTTATACCACATCAGATATTAAACTAGGGTTGGCTCAATCTGTCTACTCCCCATCGGGTTACATCTGATGTTTTTACCCACAGTTCTGTTCCATTTCCACATTGGGAAAAAACAACTCTCAAAATATACATTTGAATGTGTATTTACATGGGTATGTATTCCCTTTCAAATTAATATTTAAAATTGTATCTTAGTCACTTAAAATATTAGGAACTGTGTAATAAGGTTTAGAGAAGCACAAAATATGGTGGATACTGTACTTTTCCATGTATTAGATGAGGGTTTTTCCTTTAAAAATTATGTTAAAAAATTGGGGGGGGGGGGTCGTCTTACACACAGTCATTGCATATTGGTGATGTGGAATTGGTTGCTTCCACTAGCCTTGTGCGTGTTATTGGTGGCTGCAAGAAGGGCTGGTGTTGATTTGCTTTCGCTGCAGCAATTGGACGGGTGATTGGTGGCTTCTGCCAGCAAGGGAACAGCTTTTGTGGCGTGCCGATCCACCCCCCATTTTCAACAACTCTGGGCAATCTCCCCCCCATTTTCTTAAGTTCAGCCCCCCAAAATAGGAGGTGTCTTATACACGGGGGGGGGGTGTTATACACGGAAAAATACAGTAAGTGCTGGTGGATTAGCCTGAGATATGTAGGTCAGGGTAGTATTTGCCTAAGCTTTACTCAGAGTACACCAGCCCAAACTAAGGCATATGACTAGGGGCTCATCCCCACTTCTACTTGTCCTGCTGCTTTTCTCCAGGATGATCATTCAGGATCACGCAATTGACCAGAATTGACCAGGAACGCCCCGTGATCAACCAGTAGATCGCGATTGACCTGTTGGACTGCCCTGATTTATAGGGTGGGTTCTTTAATTGGTTATTGGGCTTTTTAGAATTGTAAACCGTGCGTTGTCAAAAATCATTGCAAAAACACAACTGGCGGCTGGTGCGGGTGACACTTACCACAAGCTCAGAGAACCTTGCATTGAGCTCCTCCGCTGGTGGGATTGGCACAGAGAACTCCAAGAATTGCAGAGGGTTGTTGTCCTTGAGGTTGATCTCAGGCAAGTCGCTGCCCCCAAAGCAGCAAAGGAACCCCAAGGCATGACGATTCCTTTTTCGGGGAGCCATGGTCATCGTGATGTGAGGTGCTATCTAACAATCATGATCTGCGGAGAAAGCAAGAAAAGAAATATAACCAAGAACCCCAAACCTTCTTAGCTTCTTCTGTGATAATTAATAAGCAAGCTTTTGAAAAGAAATGGGGATGACGCCGAGGAAGACTGAATGCCAAATGGCTGAATTTCTTTATTACATCCCCCCCCCACACACACTACTTTGTGTAAATATATTTGGAAGTATGAATACCTCAAAACTCTATTCTTAAATAAAAATGAAAATACAGAGAGAAAAATATATAAAGACAATTACAAAATAGTAAATGTAGAGAAAAGGGGCAAAATGATATTGACAAGAGTCTTTCACATAGCTATTAACCTTTTTTCCACTAACTTTTATCCTAGGAGAAATTTCCCCTTCTTTACATACAAAAACTGAGCAAAAATCAAGAATAAGGTACTAAATGCTTATGCACACACCTCCAAATTAAATATTTTCCACAACCTGAAAGTTTCTCACATTGATCTAGGAGTATGATAGATTAAATATGTCAGAATGAATTATAATATGGATGAGTGCTTTCTTCAATTTTTCCATTCCAGAAATTAATTAAAAGGGGCCATCTTTCAATAAATTGATCTTCTAGTTAATGAGCATAATCTCTTCTTCAATAAATTGTTTTAGTAAAACAAGCAAACCAAAGAACAAAAAAGTGGATTCCCATACTTTACCTGTAAGAATGGCAGGACACTACAAAGCTCGTAGAATGTCTGGGCAATCTTGTTGGTTTTAAAGACATTTTGCAATCATAAGAGGTTTTAAACTAAATCCCAGCTGGAGGAAATGGAAACACTACATACACCAAAGGCCCACCACATATAGGTAAGTCTTAAATACAAGAACTTGGGTCCTACAGGAGAGCCTAGCAAACTTCAAACTAAAACAGCAGAGAGACACTGGAGCAGAATATCAAAGGATTTCAAGGTCTCATTCACTAGGAGCCAGAGACCATTTTCAACCCATGGTCAAATTTCTGGTTTGGGGTGTCACATGCCTGTGATGGACGCGGCCAGAGGCAAAAGTGGAAGGAGCAATGGTTGTGATTTCTGTACACCAAAATTATTTAAATTCCACCCATGCAAAAGCCAGAGGTTTCTAGACAGGCAACTCTCCATTTTCCATCTAGGCAAGCAAGGAGCATTTGGACCAGGGTGCCAACTTAAATAGAATAAGGTGGGGGGGGCAGGAAATCAATCACAAAATATGGCACATGCACACCATTTGAAAGACAATGCCTATCAACTTTGGGGAACACTCCCTCAAATATTTTACTTAGGGGGCCAAAGGGACCTCAGCCCCTAGGAGTTGGCTCCTATGATTTGGACGCATTCCAACCAGGCAAAAGCGCTTGAGGAAGGTGTAGAGCAGGGCCAATGAGGGAAAAGGGGAATGAAGGCAGCCTAGAGAGAGTTTCAAGGAACAAACTGAGAAGTCTGGATGGCTGTGTTTGGCCCCTAGGCCCAAGGTTCCCTACCACTGCTATACACTTATTGCTGCTGGGTGAAGGTTTCCTAATAGGGGGATATCATGGGCTTCTGGGAGTAGAGCAAAATTCTAAAATCTTTTGGGTGAGGGTGTTTATTTCCCCCTTCTTTCCAAACAGTGGATAAGCATACCTGGCCCTTCCAGCTGCTGCCGCTGCTGAAGTGTGTTTTGAAAGGCAGAAATAGCCATTGGTCTAGTGGGACAGCACATTGCTGCCACTTGGAGCAGCACGGACCAGGTTTGTTTTTTTATTAAAAAAACAGACAGAAGGAGGAAGTCAATCCCTAGCCATAGTGTGTTAGTCCTATGAAATGTTCCCCAACAGCTAACCAGTCACCTTCCCCAATCTTTCCAAGCATTTTCCCCTCTCCGGGCCCCTTACCCCAGAAGCCCCCAAAATATGGCCAGTCCAAAAGTTCCACCCAGTCCTAACAATAATGTGTGGAGAATGTGGAATAAACCAGTTGAGCTTGAACTCCAACTACAGAAAAGTGAGTACGACTTCTTAAGATTTAACCGATACGTGGTGGGGCAACTCCCTGGATCGCTATGTAACAGCTGAAGGATAACAGCTCATTGGGAAATGATGTTTTTAACCAATGTTATCCCCTTTCTGTTGCATATGTTTTTGTCTAAAAACAGGTACAGAAATTGAAGAGGGCAACCAAGGTAGTCCTGAAGAGAGAATCTGGTTAAAAACAAATGGAAATACATTGCTGAATCCCAGCTCTAAACTGTGGCTAGTCTCAGCACCCCCTCCTAGCTGATGCTGTCTTATACAGAGTCAGACTACTGGTCCATCTAGCTCAGGACTGTCTCCACTAATTGGCAGTGGCTTTTGAGGTTTCCGGCAAGGGACATTCCCACTGCTACCTAGAGATGCTGGGGATTGAACCTGAGACCTTCTACATGCAAAGCAGATTCTCTACCCCTGAACCACAGCCCTTCTCCATCTTTGTTACATCAGAATGAGGCTTATGCATTTGACAGTTGTCCTTAATATCCCTGGTCATGCTGGACATCTGTGACCACTCACTAGAGCCAATGGGTGGATTCCAACACTCGGCTCCGACAAAGATTTAATATCACAGCACAATATGATCTTGCACAAATCACTCAGCTATTGTATACTGACAATAGCTAACTTACATATTTGCTGCTAAATTACACATTTGCAGCTAAAATAAAGATTATATAACACACTTATGCACATTCAGGATCAACTGCCATGTAGTATTTTCCTTCTTGGAAATGTTTTTGAGGTGGTATGTTTGTGTATGTGTGTGTGTGTGTGTGTGTGTGTGTGTGTGAGAGAGAGAGAGAGAGAGAGAGAGAGAGAGAGAGAGAATGAATGAATAAGTATTGCAGCTGAAAAAAAGTAATTGTCCTGGATCTTTCAGAAGAGATCTTTAAGTGAAATATTGTGATCAACTGCATTTCATACTTATTAAAAGTGCTCCCAAGGTGGAAAAAGTTAAGATGGAGCAGGCGATTAAAGTATTGTATTAATATTAAACCAGTAGAAGTAGAAAGTCACAGGCATTTCATTTATTCATTTAAAAGCATGTAACTAATATATTAGCCAAGATACCCACTACATTAGACTTGGGCAATTCAATCTTGTGCAGGCTTACTCACACAAATGGCACACCCTCTTTGGTGAGGATGCAATTTTATACACACCTCATGGAAGCCTCATGGAATTAAATGCAGTTAACTTCTGCATAAGCATTATTTAAGATGACCCTGCACATTGATTTTGAACTCTACTGTGTGGACACAGCCCCTTTATCCACCATGTTGCAGTCGTCATCAATCACAGTGGTAAATGAGAATACTTTCCCTACCCTTCCATGCATTCCAGTGCTTGTGGTTGAAAATCTTGTGGCCTCCACACTTCCATAAAACTTGCAACACACCTCAGTTCATGCTATTCTGAGGGACATGCATCATACTGCACTTCCCACTTCATCACGCAGACTGGCCATGCTGTCATCACAGCCAACAACAGGTAATCCTGGGCCTCTAACTGCAACACAGGACACCAAGCAAGGTTCTCCTCAAGCTGCATTTGAGCAGATGGCCTCCAAGCAAAAGGAGTTTCTTCAGCACTGCTGAATGCACACAAAAATTTGAGAGGTCATTAAGCAAGCCAAAGGGACGGCCCTTGAAGGCTGGATGGAGACCTTAGTCACTTCAAACACATGGTTTCTGATTTACATTTTAGAGGAAAGTCTATGCATGAAAGAACCTGGTCATGAGGAGTTTGGGTTGCTGTCAGAGACGAGGAGGGGCAAAGAGAAGGAAGTCCTTGGATCTCAGCATACAATGTCAACTGTGAGTTGTACATCCAAACAGGAAGTCTCCTGCCAGGAGTTTGAAAGGAAGGATCTGTGCAGTCCACACAAAGCTGCATATTTTTCCCTTTTAAGGGCCTTGTTGTTTGACAGCTTGGAGGCTTGTGTTATTTCCTCCACCACCAAAGAGCTCTATCCTTTTCACTTAATCTGCAGAATAAACCATTATTTTGAGAGTAAATAATTAAAAGTGCTCTTTCAAGAGTCTGGCTCCTCTGGGCGCGAGGGAGGAAAGGCAGGAGATGGCAGGTGAGCAGAGTCACTCACAGCAACAGCAACACAGCTGAGTTTTGTCAGGCAGGGTGCCGCTATTGGTTCACCCTAACCTGCCCCGGGACACACTGTCTTATTTATTTGCCTGAACAAGGCTGCCTTGTCCTCTTGCAGAGGCCAAGCACACGGGCTGAAAAATTAACTTCGCAGTGGTAGCAGCAAAACTAACATACCATGTCCTCATTTGTCTCAACTCCTCAGGACCCTTCACTACATAACTTAAGACTGAATGTGTTTTGTGCTTCCTTTACTCCTCCATGATGATCTGCCAATCCATTTAGCAGATGGCAGGAAAGCAGCCCAAACTAAAGGAAGCCCAGCTTTCCTGGATACTAGCATCAAGGCAGGACTGGCGTTCAGAGCCTTAGCACTGGCTTCCAAGGCACATTCTTACAAATGTAGGAATTGCAATGCAAAAAGTCAAAAGCCAGTTTAGTGTGGGATCAGGAGTCTCCAAGCCACCCACGCAGAAGTAAGCCATAATGCCTCTGTTATTATTATGCAATGCTGTATGTGTGCGGCTGGGAGAACAAGTAGCAAAAGAGAATATTGTTTCTTTCAGACCACAACCGGTAGCTAGCTTTGTGTCCTTCTAGGTTGCCAGTGGACCTTCTTGAAAAGAGAACCCAAAACTAGCTTCAAGGGGCTTTCCCCCACCAAACTGCATTTGTTACTCTTTTACATTATTACAGTTATCTTCAAGACAAACACCCGCTAATTGTGTTCAAGCTGTCTGCTGAAGCCTTCCCCAGCTGGGCACCCTCCAGATGTTTTGGATCACAACTCCCACCAGCCCCAGCCAGCATTGCCAATGACCAGGGAGGATGGGGAATTGTAGTTCAACAACATCTGGAGGGCATCAGGTTGGGGAAGGCTGCTCTACCGCAAAGTAAATAGGACTCTGCTCTACTGTGGTCACAGCAATTACACCCACCGATGACATATAACGTATCAAATATCTTTGCACTTGCTTCAAAGCTCCAATATACTTAGATGACTAATAGAAAGAAAGCAGGTTGAAACATTTTTAAAGCTGATACCCTCCTTTCTCTTCTACTCTTCTACTTCTAATCAAATGCTCAAGCAGTACCATGGTCAGTACCCCAGGTGAGCAGCATACATTCCTATCATATACTCATATGCATTGTAGGCAGCAAATAACAATGTACGGTTTCAGATTTGTTGAAGAGATGAACTGGTCCTCCCCTGAATTAGCAAGCCGTATAGTTTCTGGATCATATCTTCAACACAACTTAAATGAAATTACAGATTGGTTCTGTGCATTGGTTGATGTGACCCATCAAACTGCTATCTGTCCAGCTTCCCGAGCTATGAAAAATGATACAAGGGTTCTGCTGATTGGTTGAGTTCCAAAGATTCATTTGGGCCACAGGGGCACTGGCTGACTCAAAACACCCCAAAGTGAAGCTATGTCTGCCTGGTTCCCTTTTGGCCACCTGGTAGTGGTGAGGTCAAGGCAGCTCCAGTCTGGATAATCTGCCTGTCCCTGGATCTCAATTCCATTCAATGTTCTATGGCTCAAGGTGGGTCAATGATCAGGCCTCGACTTAACAAATATAAACCAGTGGTGGCTGGTGGGGCAGAAGGCAGGAAGCTCAACAGTAAGCAGAGCCACAGCCAATGAGAGGCAGAGCCAACTCATTCTAGTTTTCTCTCCATCATCCTCCATGCTGAGCTCTACAAGGGCAACACTGAGACTAAAGAGGAGAAGGGTGAAAGCCAATGCCTTGGAATGGTTGTATTTATTATTATATTTATTTTTTACATTAGCATCCCACTCTTCCTCCCAAAGGAGCCCAGGGAGACAAACAACAAGTAGTAAATCAATAAATATTTCAAAAGATTTCAACTTCAAAGGCTTGTTGAAAGAGGAAGGCCCTCAGTAGGTGCTAAAAAGGCAGCAGAGATGGCACCCATCTAATATTCAAAGAGTAGGTGTCAAAGAGTAGGTGCCACAACACTAAAGGCCTGATTCATACAATGTGTGGATCGGACCTCCTGATAAGATGGTATCTCAAGTGAAAAGACAGACAGGTGAGTGCTGGCTGAGGGCAGATGAAAGCTGGTAGACCTTAATGAGCCAGCCTTCACTACTCTAGACCTTATTGCTACGGAATATTCCACAAAGCTCCCCAATACAGGGCTTCTTGATAGATGCCATGCCTAAACATAGAAGAACGCGGGCATGGGACCCAGTGGGAAACCCAATAAAGAGACATCAGGCAGCTATCTAGCTTAGCTTCTGTGTTTTCATGGCTGGCTGATGGGGGGGGGGGGAATTATAGAGCTCACACAAGTAGCACAGTTACCCCAAAAGCAAGGTAGTAAAAGCTTTATAGCATCCTTCTCCGTTACATAATCTATATTTAGAAGCACTAACATTTTCCAGCACCCAGCCCACCACCACACTTGGAGTGAGCACTCGCTATGAAGGGAAAACTGTAACCTCTTGACTGTTGTAAAGCGTAGGCACATAAGAGTGTCTGGAGGTTTTAAAAACACAGACCACTGGAGGAATCACAGGGTGGAGTGCATTACTGGAAATTTATAAACTGAGACAGATTGTGTAGGGCTGCAGAGCTTATAATACACAGTTCCAAAAAAAGAAATAAAAGTTTGAGAAGTTGCTGGTGGGGGGGGGCATGAAAGCATCAACATGTTTATATACACACAGTGTGTTTTTTTCCTTAAAAGAAATGTTTAGAGGTACTCTCATTTCCCTACTCATATTGAAATACTGCCCCTCAATGAGGCCAAACTTAGATTCACAAAATGTTTAGGGGTATGTGTACTCCCGCATCACCCCAGAAACAAAGCACTGTATACACCCACCCCCACCCCCACCCCACCCACGTATGCACCCACACACAAAACAGAGATAGCAAGGTCTGAATATAGCTGTGTCCTGAAGCTTTAAAATTAAAGAGAGAAAATAACTAAATGTATGTTCTGAAATGAGCTTCTTTTTGTGAGGAAGTGCAGCAGTGGCTGATATAGGTGCCTTTTCCCTCCCTTTGATGAAGTGGCTGATGGGGGTCATTATCTGCACCATTTTGTGAACCTGTTTTGTCAACCACTCTTTCAGATATGGCAGCCATTTTATGTTATGCCCCCATGGCAGCCATTTTAGGAATGGTACACCCACAGCGTTGCCTCAAAATTCCAAATGTGCTTACTGGCCCCCAAAGGATGGCAGCTCTAGTCTTATGATTTCTGTGGGCTACTTGCACAAATTTCAGGACAGGGGAAAAATATTGGAACCAAAACGCTGCTGCATTTGGTTATGTGAAGTATT